CCTCCGCATCGGCAGACTCCGGGCTGCGGACTGAAAAGACTGTTTTCTGTCAGTGGACGGGGGAATCTTTGGATGCGACACCGAGGATGCGGAGGGAAGACTGTGTGCTCACGGAAAAGTCCCCATGTAAGTGGACCTGTGAGGCTCAAACACGTGTTTAAGAGTCAACTGTGCTCACGGGATTTTTTTGTTTGTCAGGTGGGGAACTTGTCAAAAAAATGATATGAAACTCAACTGTGGAAATAAATAAGAGCCGGGAAAGCCCTGAAAAAGCAAAATAACACCATGGGGCCAGACCTGTCAGATGATAGATAAAGCACGGTATGGCATCCTAATTTGTGAAGCAATGTGTTTAAAGAAGAAATGAATCGATAACCCAGTGGACCAGAACAGAAAACCAGGAGCCGATCTCAGTGCATAGGAAGAGTCCATTTCTACTTAAGGTGACATTTAAATGAGAAGAGAAAAGTGGTAGGGAAACTAACTAATCCTGTTGGGGGGGGGGTGTGAATAAATTGGGAGCCCTGTTCTATTCCTTAAGTTAAAATAAATTCCAAGCAGATGCAGGATTTATACATCAAAAATAAAATCATACAACACCAGGGAAAAGAATAGGTGAATTTGTTTCTAATATTAGGAGAGTGGATGCAGCACACCACACCCGGGACCCCTCAACTGACTATAGGAACCCTGGAAACTTGTCTGGTAAAGCACGCTGTAAACCAAGGTCAAAAACAAACCAGGGGGTAAGTGTGACGGGGGTGACTGGCAGAAGGCGCCTTTCCTCAATCCTCAGACTTAGAACCACCCAAAACAAAGTAAGTAAAGAATATAAACCAGCTGTTTCAAGAGAAATACAAAGGGCTGATAAAAGTCTCCACTCCACTCATAACTAGAGAAATGGCAATTAAAGCAGTGAGTATCTTCTTTGTGTCTCCTATCAGATTGGCAGGGATCAGTAGGCTCCATAACACCCAGTGCCTGGGAGTCTGGCATGCCCGGATCCCCCTGGCTGCACAAGGCGGGTGCAACGTTTGGGAGGGTGATTTGGCAATATCTGTCAAAATCCTTTGACCCAGAATTCCACAGCTCAGATTTTTTTTTTTTAATAACTAAGCATTCCTTTCTTTTTAGATTTTATTTATTTATTTTTAGAGAGGGAAGGGAGGGGGAGAGAGAGAAACATCAATGTGCGGTTGCTGGGGGCTGTGGCCTGCAACCCAGGCATGTACCCTGACTGGGAATCGAACCTGCAATGCTTGGTTCGCAGCCCGCACTCAATCCACTGAGCTACGCCAGGGCCACAGCTCAGATCGACACTCAAAAGTCTTCCAGTTTAGATAAAGAAGAACGTCCAAGAAGTGCTCGAAGACAGTTCCCTCTCCAGGGTTCTGCTCTCCAAAGTCTTGGCTTAGTGGGTCTCGAATTTTGGTGTGCAGCAGAATCAGTGGAGGCCTTGTGAGACGGCAGGTTTCTGAGCCCCCGCTCCCAGAGTTTCTCATTCAGTGGGCCTGGGGAGGACCCAAGAATCTGCTTTTCCAACAAGCTCTTCAGTGATCTGGGAGCCACACCTTCACGGACTAGCGTCGGGGGAGGGCTTTAATTTTAAAATTTTATTTTTAAAAAAGATTTTATTTATTTATTTTTAGAGAGGGAAGGGAGAGAGAAAGAGAGAGAGAGAGAGAAACATCAATGTGCGGTTGCTGGGGGTCATGGCCTGTAACCCAGGCATGTGCCCTGACTGGGAATTGAACCTGCGGCACTTTGGTTCACAGCCTGCGCTCAATCCACTGAGCTATGCCAGCCAGCCTAATTTTAAACTTTTAAATGAAAGATAGAAATATAAGAACTCAACCTGTAAAACTCTTAGATGCAAAATAACATGATGCTTCTTGCCACCTAAAAGTCACGGTGGAATAAAGTGCTTACCTGTTCCACTAATTCAGATGGAGAGAAACCTAAACAGTTGAACCTGACCAGGGAGCCGCAGGTATCCCTCATTGGTCAGGAGGTAGACTTACTGGCGGAAGGCTGAAAACAAGGACATCCCTTTCACGATGATGACATTACAATTGTCTTCTCCCCTTCCTCTTATCAACGAAAAACTTACAGTGAACAAACCTGAAGTGTAGAACTTGACTTTTTACATGTGTACATATTTGTCCAGCCACTGCCCAGATCAAAATATACAACATCTCCAGCACTGCAGAAGGCCCTCGTGTGGCCCTTCCCAGCCAATACTCCCCAAGGTCACATTAACTATCACCCCACTTCAGCTCTGCCTGTTTTTAAATTTCATATAAATAACTGGAATCACAGTTACTTATTGCCATTTTGTGGCTGGTTTCTTTTACTTGATACAATGTTTTAAAGATCCACCCGTGTCATTTGTATGAGCCAATGGTCTGTTCTTTTTCAGTGCTGTGCAATATTCCATTGTATGGTAAACCACAGTTTGTTTCTACTCATCCTGCTGGACATCTGGGTTGTTTCCAGTTTTAAGCTGTTACAAATAAAGCTGCCGTGTAACATTTGTGTGTCCTTGGTGGACATAGGCAGCTTTTTGTCTCTCAGGTGTATACTGAGGAAAAGAATGACAACATCGTAGAGTTTACCTTGTTATTTTAGTAGGCACTGTCAAATTGTTCTCCAAACTATATCAATTCACTCTCCCACCAACAATGCAGGATGAGTCTGGCTAATCCTAAATCTTGCTACATTGGCTACTGTTTGTTTTCATTGTCCTTTTGATTTTAGTCTTTCTAATGGGAATTGTTAAAACTATTAAAAGTAGGAATTTTTTATTTACCCAAAATAATGTTTGAATGTTTGAGAAACTTCTTGGACTCTCCTAAGTATTCAGCAATCCCCTGATGTGTGGGCATGTTACTGCCTATGGATGTGCCACAGTCACAGATGGATGCCGCTCCAGATCCCACCCTCCTTGCCTTGGAACAGACCCTTCATTTCCCCACGAACAGGAAGAGCTCACTTGGGATCCCAGAGGGAGATGTTTTCCATCACCAGTAACATCTGGGCAACATCTGGCAAGCCCATCCCAGGAGAGGGAGATGCTTTTCTGAAGAAAACATGCCATTTACTGGATTCCTTCTATTCTCCTACACTTCCCCTTCTTCTCTCCTTCTGTCCCTGCCCCCAAACCCCTTCACCCATTGGGCTTCCTGCTCTGAGCCCCCAATCCAGTCCTTCCCAACTCCCTGCCCTGGTCTCTGATGGGTCTGGTTTCCCCAATACACAGCCTAGCAGGATGCAGACCTAGGCAGCCTGACACCCCCATGAACTCTGGTGCTCAACCCAGCCCAGGGCTCTGATCAGCACTCAGGGCCTTCTAACTGCAGGGATGTTGGAAGTGGTGGGGTTCTCTGGTCCAGTGCTCTCCACTTTACTCGTTGGAAGACTGAAACAGAGAGCGAGAGTGAGAGAGTGAGAGAGAGAGAGAGAGAGAACCAGAACTCCACTTTAGGTCGCAGAGACTCCTTTTCTCTTGGGGACCTGGCCAGGGGATTAGAGGCAGGGAGGGCAGGAGGGGGGGGCGGGCAGTAGAAGAAAAAATTCCTTGGGGCCAGCAACCTCTGGGAGCAGCAGCCACAGGGAGAGAGTGGCTGAGTGTCTGCTGAGGACGGTGGTGGGCATCGTAACCCTAAGGGCTGAGTCACCTGTGGTGACTGACACCCAGCTCTGTAGCCTTTAAACTCCCTCCAGAGCTGTCTCCGCAGTGAACCAGGGCTTCAGTGTGCCAGCCTTATGCTGATGACCCTTCCCTCTCCACCTCTAGCCCTGCCCTCGCCTCAAGCTCCACCTCCGTGTACACATTTACTAGGGACATTCAATTCACCGGACCAGTTCTTGCCAATGAGCAGAACACACCCCGAGAACACTATCAAGGGTGTGGGGTGGGAGTGCAGAGGTAAGCCTGCAAGAATCGTAATGAGATGCTGAACAGAACACACTTCACGTGTAAACCACAGCTCTGTGCAGCTGTGCCAACGTTACAAGCACACGGTAAAAATGAAAAGAAATGCACACAAACTAAAGACGTTAGCATGGAGGAGCAGGGAAGGGAGTGAGGGGAGGGAGTATGAAGAGAGAGCAGTGAGGCTCCAACGGTGGGCAAGGGCCAGATCATTCCAGCTCCGTGGGCTCCAGGGAGTCCGTTGAGACTTCAACCCGAGGGCACTGGGAAGTCACTGGAAGCCTGGCTCCAGGTGTCCACACACCTCCTGCTGCAGGTGGCCCCCGAGCCACTCACCCGAAGCATCCAGGAAGGACAGGGCCTGTAGCCCCCGCTAACCTGCTTTCCTCCAAGTGTTCTTCCCGGGACTTACACACCTGTGGCTGAAGAGGGGCCTGCACCATCATCGCCACCGCAGACCCCTCCAGGCAGCACAGGGCACCCCACCCCCCCACCTGGAGGAAGGTAGAAAGGAATACTCAGGGCTGGGCTAGTCACGCACAACTTTCATCTAGGACAGTCATAGAAGAACCCAGAATGCAGCGGGAGCCGGCCTGGGTGGGGGAGGGTCAGCTTCCACGAAGGCTCCCTGGAGGAGGCATTGCAAGCTGAGGCCTTACAGGCGATAGGGTTCTGGTAAGCGGCGAGAGGGCAGAAAGGCCTTCCAGGAGAGAGGGCCGGCTGCAGCCAAGGTGGGAGGGCAGAAACGCTCCAGGGCAGCGCGGTGGGCAGGGTGGCCTCTGCGGTCGGGAAGAGGGGCAGCGGGTGGGCTCCCGGGGCCCGTACTCGCGGCCGGGGCGTGCACACACTTTCCCCTGCGCAGTCACCCTGGGAGAGTTGGCCCGCAGTCAGGGGAGGCCTCGGCGGGAGCAGGGCGGCCGGCGGCCGCAGCGCCCGGCTGGGGCGGGGGAGGGGGCGGCGCCTCCGGGGCGGGGCGGCGGGAGGCCTGGCCGGCAGCCGGGCGTGCGTCAGCGCGGCCAGCCCCGGAGTTTTCCACTGACGACGAGGGCGGAGCGGCGGGCGGGGCCGCGCAGACTGTCTCCCGCCGCCGCCGCTGCCGGATCCGCAGAGCCAGGGGAGGCAGGGCCGACGGCTGGCGGCCGAGCAGCGCACTCGGGGTCGCGGTGCGGAGGGCTTCCGCGGCCAGGACGCGTGTCGCGTCGGGGTACTTGGAGAGCGCCTAGCTGGCAGGTAAGCGCGGGGGGTGGGGTGGCTCTCGGCCGGACTGGACGGGACTTTGGGGAGGGGGCGCCCCGCGCAGGTGGCGCTGCCCCTCGGCCCCTGCCATTTGCCCCCTGACACCTCGAGTGAGAGCGGGGACAAGGATCGCCCAATCGGGCCCCAGACTACGTGACACCTCCGGGGTCCGTGGCGGGGAGGTAGGGACGGAGAGGCGCAGGTCTTCCGCTCCCCTCCCCGGCCCCGCCGCCGGCACCCCGAGAAGTCACGGCGCCCCGGGCCTTGCGCTGGGGGCGGCCGAGCCGAGGCAGCTGGAGGTGGCAGGGCGACGAGGTGCGTGTGTCCGCGCGTGAGTTTCCTTTTGACCCAGTTGCCTGAGAACTTTTCAGAAGTTCCTCTCGTGGCCGGAGCAGGTGACATTTGTCGTTTTCTTCCTCGGGCTCCCCCCGGGGGCGGATGCTGGGGCTGCCGGCGCGTGCCCGGCGCCCCTGGGAGGCGGGGATCGGGGAGGGAGTTGGAGGGATGAGCGAGGAGGAGGAGGAGGAGGAGGAGGAGGCTCCGTGAGTCACGGACCCCGGGAGGGAGCGAGGGAGGAGGGATTGTGTCGTACGCTCACCTGTTTGTCAGTCGCCGTCACACGCAGAGGCCACCGCTGTGAGTCACGGGCGCAGCCGGCCCGGCCATCCTGGGGCACACGTAGGCCGTCTCCCACGCACTGCCTCTCCCTTCCCCAGCACGTACTTCCTCCCGGTCCTCAGTTTCTCCTCCCCGGGGGCTTTTCCACCGGCTCGCACAGTGGAGACGCCGACTCCACAGCAGCCGTCACACACTTAGTCACTCCTGCTCCCTGGCACAGTCACACACGTAGCCCACACTGCTGACACAGAGGGTCCCTCCCCTGCTCCACGGCCCACCCGACACCTCCAGGCAATGTCCTCCAGTCCCAGAGGAGCGGAACTCATCCCCTCACTCCCAAACCCTTGACCTCCCTGCCCTCTGCGGTCTCCGCATCCCGAGGTCACCAAGGCCATTCCCCTTTCTCCCGGGCCCTCGTCCTGTCATCTCTCACCTAGCTCGGGCTGCGCGGTGGAACCGGTCACACCCCCTCCGGTCCCGGCGGTGAGCCATCTTTTTAAAATGCAAATCTGGTTTTGTCACTCCTTACTGAAACCCTGCTGTGGCTTCCTGTGCCCTCAGGCTAATGCCTGCCCCGGGAGGCTGGATCTGCTGCCCACCCCCCACCCCCTTCCCACTTGCCCCTCGGGCTCTCCCTTTCTCAAGCCCCCCCCCCCCCCCCCGCCTGCTGCGCCTCCTCCCTGGATCGCTTTCTACATCCCTTCCTCGGAGAGACCTGTCCTCACCCCCGGCTGCACCCCTACAGGCCCCTGCGTCGACCCTCCGTCACGACACACCACGAGGCTTGTAAACTCTGATTGCACAGCGGCCCACTCAGCTCGGAGCTGCAAGGGGCAGCGCTGGCGTCTGTCCTGCCCCCTGAGGGGGCAAATGGCAGGGGCCAGGGGAAGCGGAGTGCTGCCTGAACGGCGCTCAGCACTTCGCGGGAGCCCAATAAGCGTTTGCTGAATGAATGAATGAATGAATGAATGAATGAATGAATGAATGAATGAGTGGGGAAGGCCTGGCCGGCGGAGGAAGCAGCCGCTGTCAGGTGCAGCTTCTCTGCTGCAGAAGCAATTGCCTCACGTAGCCAAGCAAACATTTGGCACCTACCCAGTGCCAGGCCCTGGAGGCCAAGGCTGAGGAACTGTCTCCTCCCCCCATCACTTTCAGAGGGAGAGGTGGGGGAGGGGTGTGCCAAGGCTTCCTGTCTGCCCTCCCTGGGCTGCCCCGGCTGTTTGTCCAGCCCATCCCGTTGGGGGCTCCCCGAGGTGCTCAGAGATGCCCTCCCCTTCTCCCAGGAAGTAGTTCTTAGAGGGCCTGGGGGCAAGGGACCTCAGGTATTAGGGGAAGCTGACTGGCCCTGGGCTGGGGTCTGGTCTCTGAGGTTAAAAGACACATTTTTCAGATTCTTGGAGTTGGATGGAGGCTGCTGAAGGTGCCCCCTCCCCAGCACTAGCTGGGGTGGGAGCTGGGGTGGGGGCTGGGGCGTTGGGACAGCCGAGGTGTACAGAGGAGTTGGTGTGACTTTTCAGAGGCCCGGAGACTGTCTCTCCCGCCGTCCCCCCAGCCCCCACCCCACCCCGCCCCAAGTAGCCTTTGTTTGTTTGGTTCCCAGGGTGAGGTGGCCTTCCCTGGATTCACACAGTAAGGCCTGAGTGAGTAGATAGTTGTGGTGAGAGGGGCGGGGAGGTGTGCCCCCCCGGCCCCCGCCCTTGGCCTGGCTGTCAGCTCCTGTGTGTGGTGGCAGGAAGGCGGCATGATTCTCAGGGCCCAGGCAGAGCCGGAAGGAGCCTGGTTCTCTTTGATTCAGCGCCTGTCTCCGGGGCTCCTGGGGGTGTGGTATTTCAGTCTGAGCCCGCTCCTGGGAATTGCTTTTCCTTCCTCCAGGACCCTGGGAGGGGGCTGTGCTCACCCTGGGAACAGTGCCACAGTCGGGATCCTGATTCCTGGGTAGCTGCTGGGGGCCCCTCCCCCACCCTCTGACTCACTGTCTGACACTTTTCTTGGACTCTTCCACTATCTTTCATTCCTTTTTCTGACTTGGCCTCTCCTCCTCTCTGCCTGAGTCTTTTTGTCTTTATCTTCTGCCTGTGCGGCTCTCAGCCTCTGGATTCCCAGGTGGGACGGGGGCTCCTCCCCCTCCCCCTTCCCTCCCCCCAAAGGAGTATTAGGGAGATCCCTTCCCATTGCATTCCAGGCCTGCAGATCCTGCTGGGGTTCATCACAAAGCCTGCAGCGTGCCACCTCAGCTTCCTTGTACCCTGGTTTCTCTGTCTGCAGCCTTGGAACTTGTAGCCCCTCATCTTAAGCTCCCGGTCAGTACATATGCCCGAGGCAGAACCAAGGTGTCAGGCTGGAGCCTGCTTCCTTGACATCTCTATGTGTTTGCTCAAGGGGAACTGGGAGCCTCTTGAGATGCCCGCTGTGGCACCTGCCTGCAGCCCGAGCTTTCTCCTCCCTCAGAGCCACCCCCTTCTGGGTACCATTCTTGTTCAACCCTCCGCTGCAGGCTGGGGGAGGAGGGGCGTGCGCCCACCACCCTGAAACTGTGAAAGGCAGCATTAGATTGCACTGACCACTTGCTCCGAGTCCCCCACCCTCTGCCCAGGCCTCATGTGCTTCATCTTGTTTATACCTGATACAAAGCGCCCACCTGCCTACCTTTGCTCGTCCTCAGGTGCCTTCCATATGCCAGCCTCTGTTCTCAGCACAGGCACAATGACAGCGAGGCTGAGAGGCCCCCAGCCTGTTGCAAGGGAGATGGGCAGTGAGGCCACTGCAGCGGGGAGCGGGGAGCTCAGGGCTGTGATGTGGGAATCTCCGGGCCCAGAGAGGCATGTAGTCAGCGAGGAGGAGTGGGGGTGTCAGGGAGGCCCACTTGGAGATGATTTCCGAAGGAGAGGGAGGCTGGGCCCCAGCTTGTGCCAAGGCCGGGAGGGGAGCAGGTGCGGCCATTAGGGACGCCACAGGGTCAGCTGGAGTATCAAGGGAGAGGGCCTTTTGGGGAGACTCAGAGAGTACGAGCCTGGAGGAGAGGCAGCAGCTAGGCCTGCTTCAGCCTCACAGGAAATGCTAGACGATCCTGAGGGCGCGCTTTCCTAAGAAGAGCTCCGGAGTGATTCGAAACGTGCGGGGGCAGGTAGATACAGGATTTGGGAAGGTTACGCAGGCTGCAGGGGGAAGAGTGGTGATGGGGAGAGGACAGGAGCCAGAGCTGTGAGGACACAGGCCTAAGGGTCATACGCCTTTAAAATCACAGGTGACATACCTCAAATGCATGAAGTATTTGAATCTTACGTGCGCAGCTAGGTGGGTGTTTATTATTCTAGACACCCATGGAACAGACCCCAGCCAGGGCATCTGAGACCATTTCCAGACTTCTTCCCCCCTCCCTGCCGCCGAAGATTCCTTCATGGCTGTCCCCACTGCATCCCCACCCCTGCCTCCCCAGGAACCCCTATTCTAACTCTTACGGTCGCTGACCGGGTCTGCCTTTTCTTGAGCTCCACTCACATGCGTGTATTCCTGCGTCTGGCTTCTTTCACCCAGCATGGCCAGTGGGATTCGTCTGTGTGGTGTGTATCCTGCAGCTCGTCCTCCTTTTCACGGTGTAGAATGACCTGTTCACTAATACGTACTCATTCATTCATTCATTCATTCATTCGCGTAAAGCCTCCCAGTGCTGTGAGGTTTTAAGACAAGGGGTTGCAGTGGCAAGGTTGAGGGACTAGCCCAGGGTCCCTCAGCTGCCAGGGCTGACATGCAGGCAGTCTGGCTCTGGGGCGAAGGTTCTTGACCGTGTGCGGGTTGGCCTCCAGGGTGCCTGCTGAGTCTGCGCCCCGGCCTCGTGCGGATCCAGCGAGCTAACGTGCGGCTGGATGTGGATGCGGGGAGAGGGAGGGAGGAGTTGAGGACTGCAGGCTTCTGGCTTGAGTAACTGGGTGGGTGGCAGTGCTGTTACTAAGACGGGGAACACAGGAAGAGGAACAGATGGCACGGTGGGGGGGTGGGGAGCAGAGACAAGGGGTTCGATCTGGGGCCTGCAGAATTTTATGTTTCTAGGGAACAGCCAGGCAGGAATACCAAGTGGGCATTTCGTTTTGCAGGGAGGGGTCCCGGCCTCAGGTGAGCGATGAGGGGCAGGATCAGCACCCTGTAGACAGACACGTCTGTGGCTTGGGAAGGGGTGGGTTCTCCTGGTGGGATGGGGGTGGGGGCAGCGTGCCTGGGGGTGGCCTGCCCGTGTGTGTCTGAGTCTGTGGTCTGTGAGTGTGCGTGTGTGTGTGTGTGTGTGTGTGTGTACGCCTGGCTCTGGGTCGTGAAGTTCTCCCATCTCCTGGGAGAGCCTGCGGGTCAGCTGGGAGCTGGGTTGTTTTTGTTTGTGGTTTGACCTTGGGAGGGGGGTGCCAAGCCTGAGAAACTACCCCCTCAGAAGCCCCCGGAAACACCTGTGTGTCCTCTTTCCCCAGGGCCCAAGGAGGGGGCTGCAAGGAGGGGGGCTGCCTCTCGTTTCTCTTGTCCCTGCAGGGAGAGGCTGTCCCTGGAAAGAATTTTACCCAGTGAGTCCAGTGACAGCACACCCTCTGTGTCTAGGATCCAGGGACTTTGTAGGGAGTTTGGCAAAGGAGGAAAGGGGTATTCAGAAAGGATACCTGAGGAGGGGGGGATCGCCAGCCTTCTGGTTGGTTTTTCCTGTTCTCTCTCATTTCCTGTGATGGCCGTGGGGGAGGGGCTCCCCAGCCCTGGGGCCTCTGCATCGTTTCCCCTTCCTCCCGGTGACCTCCTGGGGGCCGACCTCCTGGGGGCCGGCTGTGAGTGCCACCGGATGTGCAGAGACAGGTAGCTGGCTGTGGTCAGCCCTCGGGACTGAGTCCTTTGGGGATTCCCAAGCAGCAGGAGGGACTGTTACTTGCCTTGGCATTTAGGGGAAGGAACCCCAGGTCCCCTCCACTGCACTTGGACAGGGATAGAAAGGCTGAGGGAATCTGGGTGCATTCCCAAGGAGGGCTGAGGCCTTCAAAGGGGGGGGACATGAGTGGTGTGTCCTGGGGTGCTCCAAGTCCCCGAGCTACAGACTGGAGAAAGTGGGACATTGTTGTGGCAGGTCGGTTATATGAGAAGAGGTTTTTTTTTTAAGGGAAAAAATAATTTCCATTGGAAGTTAATTCAGACAAATGGCTAGATGTTGGAGTGGGAGGCAGAGGTAGGTGACTCTTGAAGACCAGACAGGAAGATGGGAAAGAGGCACGGAGCCTGGGGGCTCCGGGTGCCGTCCTCAGGCCTGGAGGCAGGGGACTTCTCCTCCTGCGGAGCCGGGGGTTTCTGAGGGAAAGTCTGAGCAGGTCCTTCCCAGGAGAGGAGGGACTCAGGAAAGTCCTGGGAACCAGGGCCAGCGTCGACGCCAAAGCCAAAGCCAGCCTGTGTGCCAGAGTATCCCGGTTAGCCTGGCCCTGGAGTAAGGCCCGCAGCTGTCCGGTGTCTGCGGGGCCGTGCGCCTGTGGGTGTGCTGGGAGTAGGGGGGAGGAGGAGGAGGAGGGGAGGAGGAGGAAGCAGAGCCACTGCCTCGCAGAGAGCCACACACACAGCCACACACACACACAAAGGCACACAGATGCGAGCTGTGTGAATCACCCAGCCGGTGAGTCAGCCCCCAGGATTCCCGTCGGGGAGTGATCAAGGCCGTGCAGAGGTCTGTCGGTCCATCTGCTGGTCTGTGTGTGTGTGTGTGTGTGTGTGTGTGTGTGTGTGTGGGCGGGTGGTAGGAGGCAGTGGGGATGGCATCTGGCAGTGTCCTGGGAGGGCTTCCTCGTACGGCGGGGGGTGCCTCCAAGCGCCAGGAGACAAGGGTCTGGGTCTTAGTGCCTTGTCTTGTGCCGAGAAGCCTCCTGGGGAGCTCCCGGGGCTGGGGCACCTCGAAGGGTGGGTGGGAGAGGTGATGAGCACAGCTGAGCCCCCTCTCGGCCTCAGGCCTGCCACTGAGCTTTCTCCTTCCATCCTAGGCTGTCTGCGCCTGGACCCTAGCGCACCCCTGGACCCACCATGACGGGGCTGCTGAAGAGGAAGTTCGACCAGCTGGAAGAGGATGACTCCTCGCTCTGCTCATCCTCTTCATCTTGGTCCTCCTCGGGCCGCCACTCCGGCTCCTGCTCCCCAAGCTCCTCAGTCTCCCCAGCCTGGGATTCGGAAGAGGAGGGCCCCTGGGGTCAGACACCCCTGCCCGACCAAAATGCCGGTGGCCCCCGGAGTTTCACCCGTGAGTCCCCACCCCCCCGGGAAGCACAACACACCCCTTTCCTAAAGATGAAACGGGGAGGCTTGTGACAGAGCCATCCTGGCCTCTGGAGGCTGTGTCCCCATGGCTTGAGCTCCCCTACTTGGCGCTCTGCCTCGTCCACTTCACGGAATGCAGTGGCCACTTAGGAATGCCCATTGTCCAGAGGCAGTTGGCCCGGGCTAGATTCACCTTTGACCTTGGGACTCCCCTGCTGCCAAGTCATGACATTCGGAACAGAGCTCCTGAGAGTGGCCCTCAGGCTCCCCGGCCCAGCTCCTCCCTTCTGTTCCAGTTTCGTTTCTCCGGCTTTCGCCCTGTCCTCCTTCCAACTTCTCCGCGAGAGTCCCACGCCCGCACTTCTCCGCTGCGAGCCTGTCGGGCCGGTCCCTCCCCTGCCGGAACGCTGCTGGGCTTTGCCTGAGCAGCGTGGAAAGGTTTTCTCGCAGTTAGTTTTCCAGCTGGCATGATGCACGATTCCCAGACGGGCAGAGCTGGCCCTGGAGCGGTGGTCTTGACCTAACTTTGTATTATCGCTCCCGCAGCCCCGAGCCGCCTTCCGAGACATTTTTTCCTAATCGCCCGCACCTGATAGTTCACTACCCCCGACATGGCATCTGTGTATGTGCTACGTGTGTGTCTGCATCACCTGTAAAACAGGGTGCTTGTCGGCACGTGGGCTCCAACAGCACGCGAACTGACGAAATGGTGGTGGGTGTGTGCTGGAGAGACAAGGATGGCTTAATATTATAAAATCCAGTCTTCTCGTTTACAAACCGATGGTGTCGCGGGCGGGTGGGGAAATAACAAGAGCTACTCTCGATGCCAAAGGAATATTTGATAAAATGTAATGTTCCTTTGAGATAAGAAGCTTGGTTCATAGGGATAAGTGAATTCTACTTAAATGTTCAAAAATATGTTTCATCCCCAAAGCTGATTCTGGTTAGTGAGGCAAATACTGGAAGCATTTCCCACTGAGCCAGGAACAAGATGAGGGTGCTCTGTGTCACCGGCCTTAGTTAACATTGCTCAGGAAGTGTTAGCCAACTCGGCTTGCGGAGAGACTAAGAATCCTCCGTATTGCACGAGGTCAGGCAAAATTGCCGGGACCAGCAGATGGTTGCCCACCTGGTGAATTCAAGAAGATAAACAGAAAACCTTTTGCAAGGGAATGCCCTCAGGTAGTTTTTGTTGCAAATGAATATATTAAGTTGAGATATATGGAATTGCCAACATTCAGCTACTTGATTATAATTTCTTATGGTTCAACCTAATAAAAAAAATAATATACCAATATATGTATTGAATATATATAATTAATAACTTATTCAGGGAAGGCCTTTCTAAGCCTGTTGCAAAACACAGAATCTATAAAGGGAAAAGATCAATACATTTTGGTGACATAAACCTTAGAATTTCGTAAAATGCCATGAACAAAAATGAAAGACTAAAACATTTTCATAGGTAGGCTAGAGGGACGCTTCTTGCCTCTAACATCAAATGTAAAGAGTTCCTACAACCAAAGAACTGCAGAATACCGTACAAGAGACCTGTAATGGGCCGATAAAGATGTTCAGTCTTCCAAATGCCATCATTTCAGCCGTGCTGACATAGGAGGGGTGTTCAGGTTTACCCAGTCCGGTCCCGGCCAGGCTGGCTCCTCAGTTTGAGCCCATGCCCTCTGGTGGGGGCAGGGAGGACAGAGGAGAAGGTGTGAGGAGAGGTCGTTCGGCAGCGTCTTGCAGGCGGCTGTACACAGAGAACTCAGGCTCTGCCCCCTCCCCGCCTGCCTTCCAGCCCCATCCATTCTGAAGCGGGCCCCCCGGAAGCGCCCAGGCCGAGTCGTCTTCGATGGCATCACCGTCTTCTACTTCCCTCGGTGCCAGGGCTTCACCAGCGTGCCCAGCCGTGGCGGCTGCACTCTGGGGATGGCCCCTCGCCACAGCGCCTGCCACCGCTTCTCCTTGGCCGAGTTCACCAAGGAGCAGGCCCGGACACGGCAGGAGAAGCTCCGCCTGCGCTTGAAGGAGGAGAAGCTGGAGGTGCTTCGGAGCAAGGTAGGGAACGCCCTCCAGGGCCCACAGTGGGGCAGCCCCTGAAGTCCTAGCCTTGAGGGGGAAGGGCAGCAGCGGCAGGCCGTTTGCTCCTCATGTGTTTGGGGAAAGGGGCCCACGAGGCAGCAATGGCTGGATTGGGATCTGTCGCCTGGATCATCTGCAGGCAGAGGGAGGCATGGAGGGACTCGGGCTTACGCAGGGGCCGGGGAATGGTGCCTGACTCTGTCTGACCTCACTCCGGGGGAGGGTGTGGAATTGACGGACACTGGGGGGTGGTGTATCTGGTGGGGGATGGCATTTGTCCTTGAACTGGGAAACGCCATGAAGAGGAAACCCCTTTGCAAACCTGCCGTGGCAGTGCTCTCGGCTGTCCCGGTCACTGGGACGCACAGGGCCCAGCCCAGAGTAAGCACGTGGGCAGAGTTTGTCCAGTGACTGGTAGTAGAGGGAGCTAAGAACACGTGTCTATGCCTCTCACCTCCCTCCTGTCTCCCCTGGATGCAGCTCGCAGATTCTGGGGTGCCCGAGACAGAGGCTGGCCTGCCACTGACAGTGGACGCCATCGATGACGCCTCTGTGGACGAGGAGCTGGCGGCGGCCGTGGCAGGTGGCCGGTTGGAGGAACTGACCTTCCTGCAGCCCTACCCGGCCCGGAAGCGGCGGGCCCTGCTGCGGGCTGCGGGCGTGCGGAAGATCGATCGAGAGGAGAAGCGGGAGCTTCAGGCTCTGCGCCAGTCCCGGGAGGATTGTGGCTGCCGCTGCGACAGGGTCTGTGACCCCGAGACCTGCAGCTGCAGCCTGGCAGGCATCAAGTGCCAGGTGCGGTGATAGGGCTGGGCTGGGAAGGGGAGCCTGAGTGTGGGGGCTTCCCTGGGCTCCTCAGCATCCTCACGTGTGCCTCTCCCTTCTCTGCAGATGGACCACACGTCGTTCCCCTGCGGCTGCTGCAAGGAGGGCTGTGAGAACCCCAAGGGCCGCGTGGAATTTAACCAGGCGCGGGTTCAGACCCATTTTATCCACACGCTCACCCGCCTGCAGCTAGAGGAGGGGGCTGAGAGCCTTGGGGAGCTGGAGGCCCCTGCCCAGGGTGGCCCACCCAGCCCCAGTGGGCAGGCCCTGGCCCCCGCTTTCCCACTGGCCCAGCCCCCTGTGGGCAGCGAGCTAGGAGACCACAGCTGCAGCAGCGACATGACCGATTCCTCCGCAGCATTGGGCGCTAACGAGCCTCCTGACGGCCCTGCCCATCCGGCCCTGCCCAGCCCTGGCTTCCAGCCTGGTGTGGATGATGACAGCCTGGAGCGGATCCTGAGTTTCAGTGACTCTGACCTGGGTGGGGAGGAGGAGGAGGAGGAGGAAGCGGGTGTGGGGAACCTCGACAACTTCAGCTGCTTCCACCTAGCCGATATCTTCGGTACCGGAGACCCTGGTGGCCTGGCCAGCTGGGCCCACAGCTCTAGCCTCACATCAGGCATCCTGGATGAAAACGCCAACCTGGACGCCAGCTGTTTCCTCAACGGCAGCCTCGAAGGGTTGGGAGAAGGAAGCCTCAGCCTCCCTGGCATCTCGGTGCCGCCCGGCACGGACGTCGGCCAGAGCCACTCCGTGGACCTCAGCTTGTCTTCCTGTGACTCCTTTGAGCTGCTCCAGGCCCTGCCTGACTACAGTCTGGGGCCTCACTACACCTCCCAGAAGGCGTCCGACCGTCTGGACAACCTGGAGGCACCCCACTTCCCCTTACCTGCCTTTTCCCCGCCCGCGGACACCAGCGTCTGCTTCTTGGAATCCATCCTGGGCTTGTCTGAGCCAGCTGCTGAGGGCCTGGGCCCCTTCATGGACGGCCAGTTGTTCGAGGACACTGCCCCGGCGCCCCTGGTGGAGCCCGTGCCCGTGTGAGGACCAGGGTGCCTTTTCCCGGCCCCGAAGGCCCTGTTGCTGCTGTCGTACTGTCGGGGCTCTCCGAGGCCTGTGTGTGACTGTCTCCCATTGGCTGGCTCGCCCATGTGGGCACTCCTAATTTTCATGCAACACTCTGGATGGATTTATTATTTATTTTTATAACTTTCTGTGCTGAAGAGAAGGTGGGAGGGGGCTTCCCCCTTTAGCCGCCGCCGGGCCCCCCAGCGCCCACAGTCTCTTCCACCTCCATGGCCCGTGCCAGGAAGAGGAGGGTGTGATGTTTCTTAGCCCAAAGATGGCGGGACAGGGCTGGAAACATCCGCCTCTTCTGGCTTCTGCCACCCTGAGCCCTAGCCCCTCTGGGTGGCTGAATCCTCTGGACTGTGAAGACTATAATTTATTTCCATAATTTATTTGGAGACTAGGTGGCTCAGGCTTCTCAGCCCTGGCTGGTGGGCAGTGCTGAGGTCCGGGCGGGGTACAGACCCCGAGAATCCCTTTTGCCCTGCGGCCCTGCCCTGCTTGGTCTCACGTCCAGACCAGGTGTGGATTCGAGCCCCGTGTCCACTGTGGCAGCTGCCTGGCTCTGGATGGCTGAGCAGGGGCGGGACTGGCCTGACCAACCGTGACCAAAACCCTCTCCCGACCCACTCAGCCCCCTCCATTTCCTGTCCTCTGCCCCGTCTCCCCTCCCGCAAGGGCCGCGGCCTCCGCTCCGGGCCCATCCGTGTAGGGAGGGGAAGCGGGAGGGCCAGGGGTGCGCCTCAGGGCCGGCCCGCAGCACGCCCCTGCAGACACGGTCTGCGGGCTTTCTGGGCACGGCACTCCCGCCCGGCCCACCTGCCTGTGCCCTCCGGCCGGTTGGCCAGGGCCTGCGGTGGTGCCTTATGGCTTTTATGCCTGTTTGCTGATGTTGCGATTTGCATCCTAATTTCTATATTGTCTCTGAATATTCGAACTATAATTTATTCATTTTTCTCTGTGTCTGTGCCAAGAAGCCCGGGCTCTGGGCCTGCCCTCTTGCCCAGGAAGCCTTGCCAGCCCGTGTGCTTGTGGGAACACTTTGTACCTGAACAGAACAGGTACCAATAAAGAGGCTCTATTTTTAATGGTGTGGTCTGCATTTGTGGGACGGCTCGGAGCCCCGGTATGCCCGCAGGAGGCAGGGGTGGGGAGGGAGGGGCAAGCCCTGCAGGGCAGTGTGCACAGAAGCTGTGGGGGGGGGGGGGCGGGCAGCGTTGGGGACACAGGTGCAGAGCCTCCTTCCATGCAGGCCAGCCAACCTGGAAACAGGAAGCCAGCTGAGGGAGGCTGGCCAGGGGCAGGGAGCAGCTTTCCCTTTGGAAGAACCCACCTCTTCCCAGGGGTCTCCGGGGGTGGACAGTCTTAGACAGGCTATGCGCTTGGGTGGGTAAGGCCATACTCCCCCCCACTCACCCACACTGAGCTGGGGCCTGGCCCTGAGGGGTCATCACTCCTCTCCCCTGAGGGGGAGGGAGGCAGTGGGATAGGGTGGGTAGAGGCCTTGTGTGGGGCTGAGCTACTGAGGTCCCTGGGGACCTGAGCACGAAACACCAGAAGCTGTAGAACTTCATCCACCTGCACCAGCCAGACCTGTCTGACCTGTCCCCGGCAGCTTGGGCTGCAGGCCAAGGGAGCAGGCTGCACTCTGCCCTGGTGAGCCCCATCTGGGGGCCTGAGGAGCAAGGCCAGCCTCCCCCTTGGGGAGCCGGAGGGGGGACACCCGCAGCAGCTCCAGCACCCTGGCTGGAAGCCTCTGCAGGCTGCGACCCTGTAGACAAGCACTGGGAAGGGGGCCCGAAAAGGAGACCTGACTTGGCTCTCCCTGTTCTCACTCTCCGCCTCTGCTGGTCCGTGCTGGCCTCCCGTACTTCCTCTTTGTGGTTTACTGGTCAACAGCCTGGACAGAGAAGGCCAGGTTTGAATCCCAGCTCTTCTACTACCCAGTGGGGTTGCGTATGCAAATGACTTCCCTTCACCGGCCCTGGGAGTCCTCAACTCTGCAAAGGACGCTGCTCACCTACTGAGCTCGTTCAGTGGATACACATACGCAGCACTCAGAAGAGAGCCTGCAACGTGCAAGCCTCGCGACTTCCATTCTGTTTCCGTGTTTTGGCTTCTTTCTTCTATGTTTTAGCCTGTTTGTTTTTTTGTTCTTACTAGTTTTATCAGCTTTTTTTTTTTTAAGATTTTATTTATTTATTTTTAGAGAGGGAAGGGAGGGTGAAAGAGAGAGAGAAACATCAGTGTGCAGTTGCTGGGGGCCATGGCCTGCAACCCAGGCATGTGTCCTGACTGGGAATCGAACCTGCGACACTTTGGTTCGCAGCCCGCACTCAATCCACTGAGCTACACCAGCCAGGGCTCAGTTTTGTCAGCTTTTAGGCATGTCTCTTGCTTTAGGACATGTGTGGACACGGGCACACGGCCACATCGTCAGCGGCCACTAGAGGACCATGCTTGGGGTCTGGCTGTCCCTGGAGGCAGCTGAAGCGGGGACGGCCAGGGCTCAGGCTTCTCAGGGTGGACTGCCCCGGGACACCCAGTGGTCCTGTCTCGCCTCTTACTGGTCCCGGGGAACCTTTCCGTAGAGATTGCTTCAGCATGCGTGAGCCCAAAGCTGGGTTTCTCCAAAGGCTGAGAGGCTCCAACGGGAGAGCCTGGGGCCTGGGCGGACGCCTGCAGCAGCTCCAGTGCCCCGGCTGGAAGCCCCCACAGCCCCGGCCCTGTGGCCATAGACCATGGCTAGGCTGTGCGTGCCCACTCCTACCTAGAGCCACGGGGTCACTTCTTCGTTTTGTTTTTTTGTTTTTTTTTTTAAAGAAAATGAAGTGTTCCCCATACAGACAGACCTGTCTCTAACATAACCCGCCCGGAGAAACCGGGTTGTACAGCACACCCTAGTAAAGTGGGCTGTTTTCCCACCAGGAGGATGGCAGTACCCCGGGGGTTGGGGGGGGAAGCATTCCAGGCCATCGGCTCACACCAAGAGGCCACGCACGTGAGCGCGGTGTGTCATGGAGGCAAGGCCCAGTAGCCATCGAGGGCAGCCTGGGCTGATCTGAAAGAGATCCTTGCCCCGTTCCCTGTCCCCAAGCCCTAGTCAATGAACAACTCCTCTTCCTAGCCGTGCCGTGTCCACATTCTGCTCAGACTCAGTATTTTCCTCTGTACCAATTACATCGAGATGCTTAAAAGTCAGAACCGTGCCATGTGACAGCACCCACGGATTCATGAGTTTGTTATGCTGTTTTTCTCCATTATACAAAAATATTTGAGCACATAGTTATTACACTTTAAAATGCTTGGTGAAATATCATCGGCAGGGGTTTGTAGCATGCTGTGGGAACACACAGATGTCGCCGAATTTCCCACCACAGAGGGGGACACTGAGACCGAGAGAAGGGAAGGAAGGGTCTTGGGAAGGTCACACAGGCAGATTCTAGACCTCCTGACTCCCAGTTCAGAGTCCCTCCCACCCCCCCTCTCCCAGGTCGGGCCGGCCCATTACCGCCATTCTGAAAAACAGGAAGAGAGGCATCCACGCGAAGGTGACCTCTACCAACCCCCCTGCAGTTACACTGAACAATATCCATCTAAATAGGGACCTAGCTTTGGGCCCCGTAGGTGTCGAAAGGTTTCTGGAGGGTGAATTAGTCAGCCTGTCTTTCACAAAAGCTGAAGTGGGAATTCGTTTTCCTTGGGACGCATTCCCCTGTACTAGGCAAGGTCATCGGGCTTCCCCTGAACCGGTGAGGACCAGCAGAGGCCAGCTGCAGACCTGGCGGGGAGCAGATGGAAGGGATGGGACAGAGTGGGCCTAGGACCCTCTCTCATCAGCACGGCTGGGGCGCAGGCGCAGCCCCTGGTCCTCAGGTCCGGTCTCGCCGCCGCCAGGGAGGATGCCGCGAGCACCTCCACAGGGGCAGGGAGGAGCATTGTTCCTTTGGCTCCAGGACGCAGGGGACCAGGCAGGACAGGAGAGGCGTTTACAGGGCTCACATCACAACATCACAATAGCTGTAGGGTGGTGTTGTTTTTTTGTTTTTTTTTTTTGTCTTTAACCACCTCTTTGTTCCCTTCTGCCCCCTCGCAGGGCCTGGGACAAAAGTGGGGCCCACAGGAAGGTGCCCAGGGAGCTCAGCAGAAGCTAAGCTGATGGATCATGTCCCTGTTCCCCGGGGCAAAACTGTTTCCTGGGCCTTGAAACCATAAAGCTCCGGGATGCCCCTCAGGCCGGAGGAGGCGTGGTTCAAATAACTCACACGCCACAGAGATGGGGAAACATACGTCCTTTTCTGAATCTCTTCTCCACTGACCCCCACCCCCCCGACCCCCCACGCAATCTCCGTAGGCTGACGGCTCCCACTGACCGCAACTAGGGCCTCAGAGACCCCTGGGCCTTTTCCAAAATCTCTTCTCTGATTTTGGGGTAGTTGGGGTGCTCCCTGAGGACCTGGGACAAAGAGAGAAAGGGTGCGAACACATCAGGCAGGGCTCCCCGCCCCCGAGCCAGGCCCTCCCTGCCATTGCTGCTTACATTGTGGCAGACTTCGATGGCCTCCAGGAACCTCTTGCCCTTCAAGTAGTTGAACGCCAGCCTGTAGCCTGTCCAAGGGCAGGGAGAATACAGCCCAGGTGGGTGGCCCTGCCGGGACCTGACCCAAGATCCCCTCTGGTTCCCACAGCCGGCCAGGCCGGCACATGGGCCTTGCGGTCTGGGGTCAGGGTGATGGCCCAGCTGCCAACTCCCTCCCTCCCACACCCGCCTGGGCCTGGATGGGCTGCCCTACCGATGGCGGGGTTGGCATAGTGACTGTACTTCCAGGCCAGCTCGTAGTTGGTGGCCGCGTCCTTGTAGGACTGCTCCTTCTCCATGATGAAGCCCATGTACTCGTAGGCCTTGCAGCAGGACTGCAGAGAAAGCGGGTCAGAGCCTCCACAGAGAAGGAGAAGCCACATCCGGTCCTGGTGCAGCCCCGCAGCCCCTCCAGCCCTGAGCCCTTCCCAAACCCTCTCCTGATTCCACGTTCCAGATGGCTACCCAGCCTAGGATACCTCTTCTTGCCTTGCTGGTGCTGCGCTCCCTGTTACCATTCTGCTCTTGACCCACCCCCCATCGGCTCTGCCCCGGACGCCTGCCTGGGCCCGCTGCCCTGCACCCCACCGCCCTGACCGCACGCAGCACAGCCCTCGCCTTGTTGTACTGCACACAGCGCCGCAGCAGCTCGGAGGCCAGGTCGAACTTGCCGCCCTGGCAGTAGATGTCTGCCAGCAGCAGCCAGCTCTTCTCCAGGTCCTCGGCTTCGGCCAGGGCCCACGGAGCCTTGGCCAGGCGCTTCAGCTGCGTGCGCGCCTTGGGGACCTGCTTCAGCAGCATGTAGGCCTGCGCCATGGCCAGCAGCGCGGAGACACTGTCCTTCTGCGCACGGGGTGGGAGGCCGGAGTCAGCATTGGGGATCCTCAAGCTCCCCCGCCTGCCCCGCCTGCCAGCCTGCCCCACCCCACCAGCCCAGCCGGAGCACCTCCGCCTGCGCCATCTCGATGAAGGTGCCCAGCGCGGTCTCCATGTTCGCCTTCTCCCTGGTGGCCAGCAGGCAGAGGCCCTGCAGCAGCCGCATCTGGGCCTGGCCCCAGGCGCTGTGCGGATAGAACTCACGCAGCAGCTTCTCGGCGGTGCGCACGCCCTGCTGCTCGGACTCCTTCCTGCCGGGGTAGCTGCGGTCGTGGGGTGAGCCTGGGGTTCCTGGCCCGCCCGCACCGCCCTCACCTGGCCGGGACCCAGAGGCCACGGGCTCTCTCCGCCTTTCCCAGGGTCCGCCCCTGCGCCCAGGGGTCAGCCGGGCCCTTACTTGCTCTCAGCCGCAGGGTTGTCGAAAGCCTCTCCTCCCACTATCTCGTTATCTGGATTCAGACAGATTTGCACCATGTAGTAGGTGGCGCTCTGGCCCCAAGTGCTGTCCTTGCGAGCTTTATTTAGGAACTTCAGAGCTTCGTTGGGCTGCCCTATATGCCTGCAGTGGAGGGGAGACAGCCAAAAATCAGATGGGGAGACCGAGGCCCGGGGAGTGCAGGGACACACAGGGGC